CCACAATGTCGAAAATGTTTAATATCTGGCCCATTACAGACAAAGTTTGAGGACCCCTGGTCTAGTTTAATTACATTGTTTTGTTTCCAGTGTATGTATTCTAAAATACCTGCTGTCTATAGTGAGTGATAGCTTTCCACTGATGGTGACAATAATTAATTTAAGTTAAAAAAAAAAAAGGATCCAAAGGGGGCACCTGGGTCATTCAGTTGGTTAAGCATCTGCCTTCAATTCAGGTGATGATCTTGGGGTCCTAGGATGGAGTCTCACATCAGACTCCCCGCTCAGAAGTCTGCTTCTCCCTCTGCCCCTCCCCTGCTCATTTTCTGCCCCCCTTTCTTTCTAATAAATAAATAAATAAAAGCTTAAAAAAAGAATCCAAAAAATTAACAAAATGAAATTAACAAGCTACCATAAGAACATATTAACAAATTAATAAATTATTATATAACAGATAACAGAAGCAGACCATAGCTGTGGCCAAACCATGGAGTTAGCACATACGGGGCCAAATCCCAGACAAGGCTCGATAAACACCAGACTACAGGACAGGGGTAAGGCAACAGATGTGAGAATGGTGCAGATAAAGATGAGTCTGGGGACCAGGAGAGCATTTCATGTGAATAAGGGATCCATCTCCAGAGGCCCTGTGCCCAATGAGGCTGGAGAGAGGGCCCAGCATGACTTAACTGGTCTCAGTGGGTGTCAAGGGACTCAGAGGGCAGGAAGCCACAACCAGGAGAAGTCAAGATCAATAAAGGGGAGAGATGCTCGTTTAGGGGAGTTGATGGTGGATCCCTTCCAACCTGGGGTGTTCTTTGTGGACGCACTGGGGCAGGCATGATGTAAAGACATCCATGACTAAACACTTGTCTGTGTTACAGCATGCAGGTGCCAAGCAATTTACACCTATGAACTCACGTAATCTTTCCAGGAACCCCAGGAAATAAGGGGTTATTTTATAATAAAGAGATTGAGGCACAGAGAGTGCAAGGGACTTGCTCAAGGTCACTCAGCGAGTGGCACAGGCTGATGTGGCTACACCTGCCCAGCATCTGAGCCCTGACACTCAGCTGATGACCGGGCCTTGGTCATCCATATAGTCAGGCCCGGGAACTGTGACTCTGTGTCAGCTGAGCACCCGGCTGGCTTGTCTCTGGTCCCTTGGTCTTGGCCTGACCTTTAGAATCCAGGTCATGGAGACACTGTCATCCTGGTGACATCACAGGGAGATGACAAATCACAGCTTTCCACAGGAGTGACAAGGTGCCGATTGCCAAGAGGAGGCAGGTCTGTGAGGCAGCAAGGAGGACAAATGTCTCTGAGCTATAGAGGCAGGGACAGCCTCAGCAGCCCAAGAAGTCCCATGAGTGGAGTGGAGGGGCCAAAGGGTGGCATCCAGTGGTGCCCCACACCCCACGTTTGTAGTCGGGAAGGGATCCCTGATACTCATTGTCCTACATCTCCTTGTTTTTGTAGTTCTTTTTTTTTTTTTAAGATTTTATTTATCTTATTTGAGAGGGTGGGGGAAGGGGCAGAAGGAGAGAGAAAGAGAGAATCTCTCTTCAGCTCCTCTCCCAGTGACATAGGAACAAGCAGGGCCACCTTGTTTTCTCCAGTGCCTGGTGGCATGGTGGGCCACCTCTAACGGGGTGCTGGCTTCATAATTACGTTTGTATCAGAAAGCTCGGTTTGCAAGTCTAAATCTTGAATCTGTGCTGTAGCTGAAGTCAAAGAAGGTTCAAAAACCAAATGAACAACCTTCTTAGCCATTGTTACCAGTTGAATTGTGTCCCCCCAAATCCATATATTGACATCCTAACCCCTAAGACCCCGGGATCGGAACCTGGTTTGGAAACGGGGTCGTTACAGATGCAATTAGTTAAGAGGGGGTCAAACGGCAGTGGAGTGCACCCCTCATCTGATATAAAAAGGGGACATTTGGACACAGAGACAGGCACACAGGGGAATGATGCTTGAATGGGAAGGTGAGGCACCTACAAGCCAAGAGACACCCAAGATTGCCAGTAAGGCCCCAGAAGCAAGGAAGGGGCAGAGAACGGAGTCTCCCTCACGGCCCTGAGGGAGGAACCCACCCTGAGGACACCCCGATCTCAGACCTCCAGGCTCCAGAACTGGGAGGCATCCATTCCTGTGATTGGATGCCCCAGTCTGAGGTTCACTGTCACAGCAGCCCCGGGAACACCACATGGCTGTTTCCCACAGTGGCTACTACAGCCCACAAGGCGACAGGTCAGGAAAGCTCTGTGTGGGAGCCAGAGGGGCTGGTGTCCTTGTTCCAACTGAGCACCCCAGACTGTGCTGTGTCCAGTCAAGCGAGAGCTCCGGCTAGTGACCTGCCCCTGGCCTGGGCTCCCCTAGTGCTCCCTGTGTCCACCGCCCCTCCCTGCCCCGGCCAGCCACACCCTGCTGGCTCCTCCTGTCCCCACCCCTCTTCCAGTGGTCCCACCCCCGGGCTCCAGGCTCACCTGGCTTTCCACCAACTGCCCCGTCTGTCCCAGCTGTGTAAACATCCAGAGTGCTCCGTGTGCAGGAAACAGGATCAGGAAGGACAATCAGGGGCTCCCTCAGCCTGGGTGGTCTCCCTCCTGGGGCCCACCACTCACCCCACGGAAGAACGGCCATGTGGGGTGACAAGGGAAGGCAGGCTGAAGAACTGGGTGCACAACGCAGCCTATTTCTATAAGAAAAGGGGGTATTTATGGTTCTGGAGGTTGAATAGCAAGTGGGGGATGCCGATTAGCTGTGGATACGAAATTGTGAGTGGTTTGGATCTTTGTTCCTTTTGCTAGTGAGTGGGCCAGAGTTTCTTCAGCTGGAAACGTGTGTGTGTGCATGTGCTTATGTGTGTGTGTGTGTGTGTGCGTGTGTGTGAAAATAGTAGCAATAAAAAGGATCCCTAGTGCCCGAAGAACCCATGTTTCCCTGGGATACTAAGTGGGGGTCTGAGCCCAGTAAGGCTGAGCTGGCTTCTCTCTGACCTGTCCTCTGAAGTCAGATGGGAGTACGGGGATCAACCATTCTGATTTTCACTGTAAAATTGTTCACAGGGAGACGCCTGGGTGGCTGAGTGGGTGAACATCTGCCTTCAGCTCAGGGTGTAATCCTGGGGTCCTGGGATGGAGTCCTGCATCGGGCTCCCCGCAGGGAGCCTACTTCTCCCTCTGCCTGTGTGTCTCTGCCTCTCTCTGTGTCTCTCATGAATAAATAAATAAAATCTTTAAAAAATAATAATAAAATTGTTCGCAGGCACATGGGACTCTGCAAAAGCACCTGGGAACCTGTAGACAGCCAGGCCTGGACATACCCTCCCGGCCCTGCACGGCCACTGCAGGGACACTAAACCTGCCCCCGCAGATGGGCATTGCTGTCCGCCAGCTGTTCTTCCCTAGACCCCTCCTGGTCACAGCTGCCGGCGGGAGGTGGGGGGACGGTGGGAAGGACACCAGCTTCTCCAGCAGCACGAGGTGCTCCTGTATCGATACCTAACTGCTTTGGAGGATGTACTCAGAAAGGGAAGCAAACACTGGCTGGGAGATTGGCCTCGGCTACTTCTCACTTGGAGATGCTCCAGATGGGCCACCTGGCTTGAGTCAAGTCTCTTGGTATTTCAGATCCTAAAATCTCTAACACAGGGGGCCCCTGGGTGGCTCAGTCAGTGGCGCATCCAACTCTTGGTTTCTGGCTCAGGTCATGATCTCAGGGTCATGGGATGGAGCCCTGCCCCTCGGGCTCTGCGCTAAGTGTAGAGTCCGCTTGAGAATTTTCCCTCTCCCTCTGCCCCTCCCCCCTGCTTGTGAATTAATTGATTAATTAAAGAAATCTATGACACTAATTGTCCAACCCCCCACCCCAGGGCTTTCTTGCTGAAAGTCTCTCAGTCCAGGTGAGCCTGGAGCCTGGGGGTGGGACCACTGGAAGAGGGGTGGGGACAGGAGGAGCCAGCAGGGTGTGGCTGGTTGGGGGGACACAGGGAGCACTAGGGGAGCCCAGGCCAGGGGCAGGTCACTAGCAGGAGCCCTCGCTTGACTGGACACAGCACAGTCTGGGGTGCTCAGTTGTTTCACACTCTGAAACAAAGCTGAGGTCACCTGTTCATTCTCACCCACCCGGAAAGGCATGGAAAGAGTGGAAATGATTTCCTTCACTTGTGTGGGGAAACCGAGTCCCAGAGAGGTTCGGTGTGCAGGTCAGGATCCCGCAGTGAATCGGGGACAGAGGGGCGCTGTGAGAGGCCACCGTGACAAGGCCATCGTGTCCTACATAACCCCTGGGGGGTGCGAGCAGTGCCACCGAGACAGGAGGCCAAGGTCAAGTCAGTAGGTCCGGGAGATGCAGAGAACCAGGTAGGCCTTTCTTGACTTGCGCCTGGTGCCGCCTGTTGGTCCACAGCTGGAGGCCAGAGGGCACCCCCTTCCCCCCCACACACACACCCCGTCTATCTTCTGTCACTTTAGGCCTGAGCCTCCTGTAGGAAGCCAGGCCCCCAGGTCTTCACAGTGGAGGGATCCACAGGACACAGCACCTTCTCTGGGTCTCTATTTGGTCTCTAGCACTGACCGACTCTCCCGACACAATTTCAAAATCTATCTGTGCCAACAAGGTCTCTTCCACATCTTTTACTTAAAACCTCCCTTCAGCACCAGGAAAAGTAGGGCAGAGGGGGTGAGGGGGACGAAAGTCCCGCGCCTACCACGGGAGGTGAAGCAACCTGCCAGCACCTGCCCAGTATGCGAGGGTCCCAGGACCGGCCACCCGAGGGCCCCTGGCTGACACCGAAGATCCCTCCCAGGGCCCCTGACTCCTCCTCCGCCTCGTAACTCAGTTGGCCCAGCGATGACCAGTCCCACTGCCGGTGATGTCAGGCTATTTTGGTCGGGACCATTCCTGAGTCATGAAGCAGTTAAGAAATATCCTGCCCCACTGGCTACCATGCTCATAAAGGTAGATCCACGTGTACTTCCTTGTGGCTCCAGACAGCCTGACGGCTCCCTCGGCTGCTCACACCCAGCAGGGAGCGAGGGCAGAGGCAAGACGCAGAGCCACCACCCTCCCATGCAAATCACCCCCAGGAGTGCAGCTCGGCTCCTCCCGCTTCTCCCCGGGCAATGCTCCTGGGGAGGCGGTGGGGAAGATGCAACCCCGGCCGCTGCGCCTTCCTCCTTGTCCTGGCCCTCTTGCTCGACGCCGTGGGCCTGGTGCTTCTGCTGCTGGGCATCCTCGCCTCCCTCGATTACTGGGACTTCTTGGTCTACACAGGGGCCCTGATCCTGGCTTTCAGCCTGCTGTTCTGGATCAGCTGGTATTCCCTCAACATCGAGGAACCTCTGGAGAAACTGGACTTTTAGTTTGGCTGCAGGCAGGGAAGGAGGGATGCGGACTGCACAGGAACCTGGCTCTGAACCTGGGGCTGTCGGAGGAGCGGGGACACATTGCCACTCCCACCCAGGATGCTCCACCAAGGACGAGGTGAGTGCACGCCAGGTCTGCTCGGAGGAGTGGCCAGGGAGGCTGGGCCGAGCAAGGGCAGGCTTGAGTGGGCAAGCAGCTGGGAGCCTGCACCTTGCCTGGGGGTTCTGTTGACCTGGGCCCCAGCTCACCTGTGGTGGGCCATAGGTGTCCCCTCCCCTGGGGCCCTTACGGAGTCTAGATGGAGGGTCTCCACAGCCCCTTCCACTCCTCATATGCCACGCAGAGCATGAAATTGCTCCTTCAGCTCAGAACTTGGGAAAAAAGAGCCCATCCTGATTCTCTGTTGGGAAGATTCTAGGTGGCAAGGAAAGCCTTTAGCTCTGGGAGAGGATGGAAGATTCCCCAATGGTTGCTTGTGCCCTTGTGTGGATGGAGGTGGTGCAGGCTGGCCTGCAGCAGGGAATGGCCCAGAAGGGCCTTTCTACCTTGCTTCCTCCCTCCACCTGCAGATGGGAGATGGGATATGCACCAACAGGCAGAGGACCTGCCTTCTCTCTCAGCCAGTGCTCTCACCCCACCCTCCTCGCACACACTCCAGGCAGCCACCACCGCCTCCCCACCCCACCTTCCAATCCCCACCCGGCCCCGGCTGGTCTGGGAGACTCAGAAGTCAAGAGACCATGGCAGGCCATTCCATCGACCGAGCGGCCCTTCCCAGCCAGGCCGGCTGCACGGTTGATTGCATGTAACCCAGGAGGCAGATAATTGTAAGATTTTTCACAGGGGCACTAAGCGCCAAGGATTGAGCTGGTCTGGCCCCCCACAGCCTTGCATTATGGGCAGCCCTCCCCAGGAGAGTGTAACAGGAGCCCTCGTTGGGCTGATGATCACCATTACCCCCACCAACCTGGCCGGGAACCTGGCACAGCCGGGCACTCCCTTTCCAGCCCTGGCTGCGAGGATAAAGGTCACGGCTGTGTTGGAAGCAGAAGGTAATAATTCCTGTGTCTCTTCTGGGGGTTTCTGTTTGACCCTTGGAATGGAGAGACCAGAGCAGCAGTTTGAAGAGGTTTCTGGAAGGGAGGGTAAAACCTGATCCCGGCAGGTGAAAGGAAAAGAGATGGGAAGTCTGAGGGCCTGGGTCCCACTCTGAGTGGCACCACTTGTTGCCTGGGTGACACAGGGGCAGGCTGCACCATGCCCCAAGCCTCAGTCTCCTCATATGTAATACGAGGCTGACACGGCCCACCCTTGTCATCCCTGGGGCCAAAAAGAGGTATGGCTCTTTGCAGACCCTGTGGTTTTTACAAATGTCACATATCCTTACTAAACATATAATAGAGGGTGAGTAAACTGACCTGGAGTCCCCACTGAGAGTACTTGGTGCACCTCAAACTGGTAGTGAAGGAGTCAGCTTGCACCCCAAAGCAAAAAGAACCCCTAATTTATTGGCTCATTCCCAAAGGCATGTCAGGCACTGTGCAAGGCACTAGGGATGCCATGAAGGATAAGGTACATCGGTCTCTACCCTCAAGGGGTTTCCCGTCGAGGAGACTCTTAGTGAGATGGAGGCCCAATAACAGAGTCAGGGGAAGACTTTCTAGTCTTCCTTTTGTCCTAGGAAAGGGACATCACTTCATGGGAACAGCCAACAGAGAAGCTGACCCAGAAAGTGGAGTCTTTCAGGGAGAGGCAATTGTGTGAGCAAAGCAGGAATTTGGTCATTATCTTCAGAACAATAAGAAGTGATTAAAGAGAATGTAAGCAAGGGTGGGAGCTTGACATAACTGGATCTATGTTTCAAAAGACAACCTGGCCATGGCACAGATGATGGTGGTGGTGGTGGTGGTGGTGGCGGTGGTGGTGGTGGCGGTGGTAAGGGTGATGATCACCAGTTCAAGTTCATTTGGGGAAGCCAAGTCACTTGCTTGAACAGCTAGGGGTTCCTAGTGTGAGGCTCCTTGCCCTTTACGTCCTTCCCCAGAAAAGAGTTCAGTAGCCCAGTGGTGAGGAGCATGGGCCAAGACCCAGACTGCCTGGTTTGAATCCAGCTTTGTCCCTTACGAGCTGTGTAAGTAACTCCTGGAGTGAGCTACTTTATGTCCCCATGCCCTATTTTCCAAACCTATAAAATGGAAATGGTGCTAATGACAGCCCCGACTTCATAGATGATGATCAGATCAGCCCGGGCGGCCTCATAAGGATGTTGCAGAGACCAAGTGGGCTCATGTGTGTGTGGCACCCATGAGCGATAATTAACTGACACAAGGGTACTCCAGGGAACCTCTCTGTCACGATGCAGGTAGTTGGTGCGTTACAGAAAAGTAAGGCCTTCCTCTGAGATAGACACCCCTAAAGTGTTATATGATCACCTCTTTTTTAAAAAAATTTTTTCAATTTTTTTTTTCAATTTTTTATTTATTTATGATAGTCACACACAGAGAGAGAGAGAGAGAGGCAGAGACACAGGCAGAGGGAGAAGCAGGCTCCATGCACCGGGAGCCCGATGTGGGATTCGATCCCGGGTCTCCAGGATCGCGCCCTGGGCCAAAGGCAGGCGCCAAACCGCTGCGCCACCCAGGGATCCCTAAAAATGTTTTTTTTAAGATTTTATTTGGGGCAGCCCGGGTGGCTAGGCGGTTTAGCACCGCCTTCAGCCCAGGGCCTGATCCTGGAGACCCAGGATTGAGTCCCACGTCGGGCTCCCTGCATGGAGCCTGCTTCTCCCTCTGCCTGTGTCTCTATCTCTCTCTCTCTGTGTCTCTCATAAATAAATATATAAAATCTTTAAAAAAATAAAGATTTTATTTGTTTATTCAGAGAGGCAGAGACATAGGGAGGAGGAGAAGCAGAGCCCAATGTGGGACTTGATCCCAGGACCCTGGGCTGGGATCACACCCTGAGCTGAAGGCAGATGCTCAACCACTGAGCCACCCAGGTGCCCCCCATGGAAAGTTCTAACCAGGTTCTGAGAAGACCCCTCAGGGGCTGGGGTAGAGGACAGCAGCCCTACCCACCCGACAATATACAGCTCCAGAAAAGTGGGGTGTTCCACACTTTTATCTACTGAACTGTCACAGAAGGCTTCCTGGGGACACAAGTCCTAATGTTAAAACGTATTTCTGAAAATGACTCATCCCAATCCCCTTACATGTAGTCTGTGACCTTTGGCCTGGGCATAATTTCTAACCACACTCAGGATTTATGGGCAGTTTACAACTGGCGCCGTCAGTTCTCCAATTCTCAGAGTGGAGTAAAAGGAAAGAGCATGGACTCCCCTTAATTCAGAGCCCGAGGCCGCCCTTCTGAGCTCATCCTTCAGTTTTGGGACAATGAGTTTACTAGAACACTCCCACCCCCTCCCCAAGATAAGCGGGTTGCACCCCCGGCACAAGGTCTGGTATAGAATTGGGGTCAGGACAGGGCAGGGCCTGGCAGTCTCTCGAGCCCTCAGCCTGTGGCCTGCATGGTTCTCCAGTGACTAGAGGGCAGCCTGGCCACTAAACCTCAAAGCACGGCCCCCCCACCCGCCCCCAGGAATTTCGGATGAGTGCCTTGTGTACCAAGTGAGGCAACTTGCCATCTGATTTTATCACTCGGTCACTATATTCTCGAAAGATCTGTTTGTTCCATGGTTTCACTTGCTGGGCATTTCTTGTAGCTAGAGATAAACCCCCAGGCAGAGTCAGGTGAGGACTCTCGGCTTTCTACATGACGGTGTACGTCTACACCCAACCCCAAACATACACACACATACACCCTCACACCTGCCACACACGTACCAGAAATACACACTCACAGAAACACACACACACACACACACACACACACACTCTCCAGCAACCGAAGCCCAAGGGCATGGGTGGCTCGCAGCCCTGAGCCCAGGGAAGTGAAACCTCTTCCTCACCATCGACATTTTTCCTACACGCAGACACCCTGTCTGCCCACAGGGGCTGCCACGTCAGCTCAGGGTACAGCCCGGTGGAAAGGCCTGCACGCCAGCTCTGCACACCCAGGCCACGGGCACATGCGGTCCTGGGGCTGCGTGAAGGGCCAGACGTTTCTCTAATCCCTGGAGGAATGTTTAATCTAGGGGGAGAGATAAAGCAAGTACACAATACTCCGCAAAAGCACACAGAAAATGTGTGCCAGGAGATAAGCTTGGTCTTGCACGGAGCTCTGAGCACCCCGTTGAGGAAGAGATCCTACAGGGGTGGGGTGGGGTAGGGGTGAAGAAGGGGTGTGTGTGTGTGTGTGTGTGTGTGTGTGTGTGTGTGTGTGGCTTCAGACATCTGGCCTGGGTCCCCGGGAGCAGGAAAGAACGTGACAGGCAGAGACGGCACTTGGGAAAAGCTGGAGGGAAGGACTGCAGAAAGAACAAAATGAAAGAATATTCTGGAAGGAGCAAGCAAGCAGGTGGGACTAGGTCGGGAGTGTTCACTGGAGGCCACTGGATGCAAGATGAGGACTGAGATGTTTGGAAAGCAAGGAGGAGAGTTCAGAGGCTGTGAAGGGAAATGGCCAGGCTCTGCTTATGGTAGCAGGTGCAGGGACAGGTGCAGCGATAGGTGAGAGGGGGTGGGGGTGGGGCGGGCAGGGGACCACTCAGGAAGCTCAGCAGGCAGATAGTAAGAGACGGACAGGAACGGAGGGCCATGGAGAGCAGAGGAGATGGAGACAGCGTGAGTGGGGACAGACAGGCCCAGCGGATGGTCCATCCTGGTCCCGGATAGCCAGGCGGTGGTGTCAAAGGCTGCAGAGAGCCCAGCTGCCCTGAGGATGAGGGAAGTCGAGGGACGGCTCAGGTTTGCTTCCGATGATGCTCTTTCCTGCACACGCGCAGTGTTTGAGAGGCAAATAGTGCCTTTGAGCAGAATGGCCCAGCTGGCGTGGGATGCACAGGTTTTAAACTTAGAAGGGAGATGGGGCATGGAGGTGGGACCGTGGATGAGCTTGTACAGGCTGCACAGGTAGAGACAGAGGAGGAAAGCAGGGTGTGTGTGTGGGGGGGTGGGGACCAGATGGAAGGGGGGGATGCCTAGGATTCTCTAAAGGAGGCCCTGCCCATGATCCCACTCACCCTATCAAACTGCCCTGCAGAACCCGTCCTCATTATCACCGATCATTAATCACCTGTACAGATGAGGGTCAAGGAGCACCGAGTCTAAGTCCCTTCCCATTCTGTGAGTCTACAACCCAGCCAGGCTCACTCACTCACTCACTCACTGTCCAGAGCGCTTTTTACAGAGTTAGACAGAGCCAAGAAATTGCAGCGAAGACCATATAGCATGCAACGCCTACCTTATTTACTCTCTGGTCTCCTACAGAATAGTTTGCTGACCTCTGGCCCAGCCCTGGTTACTTCCCACGGGAGCCGAAGGCAGAACCTTGAGCCATGCCTGCTTTGGGGGGAGTGGGAGAAGGAAGGCAGGCTGGGAAGCCTACAGGGACGTTCCCAGTAGTAATAAGGGAGCGACATCCTGCAGGTGACAAAGAGGATATGATGTCAAGAGTAGGGGGCCGACCATCGAATGCCTGTAGCCTGAGCCGAGTGGGCTGGATGTGGCCATGAGCCTTTGTCACTACCAAGTGGGGATAAAATAGGACCAGCGCTGCATGTGGAGTGGCTGCCAAGATGTCCAAGGGACAGGGGCCAGCACAGATCCATCCTCAAGAAGATTGAGCAGGATGGTAAGGGGAGGGGAGGGGGGGAGCCAGTGGACAGGCAAAGAAGACACCAGAGTTAGAAAGGAAGACAGCCGGATGTCTGGCCATGTCCAAGGTGGACCTGGGGGTGGAATCCAGAGCTCCAGGAGAGCCATTAGCTTTGCCCACAGTGAAGGCTGGGGAGGGGGAACTCAGACTTGAGTGACTGGGGATTTACTGGACAATCACTTGTTTTCAGGACCTCATCTGATGCTCACAGCTCAGGGATTCAAATACCCATTTTACAGGTGGAGGAAACTGAGTCTCAGAGCAGTTCCCAACTAGCCCAGGGACACTGCGCTATGGAGAGGCAGTGCTAGAATTCACACCTAAGTCCTCTTGACTCCAAAAACACACAGGTTTGAAATGATGTGTTCAAATCTCGAGCTGACCCATTTTATCTTCATTCATTCAACACAGGTCCCGTCTGTCGACAGAGTAGCATCAAAGCGGGAAGATGCTCCACTTTGCCCCGCATCCTTTACTCATACCCAGGAGGATCCTGCGAGGCAGAGGCTTTCAAAGCACCCACCGGGATGCCCCCACATTGCATGAATGCCAGGCTTCTGGAAGGTTCCAATCTCCATCAAGAGTCCAGTGCCCCTGCACCACGCCACTATCTATGCTGCTGGTGCCCTGCCTATTCCAGGAGAATCTGAGAAGCCTCAAAGTTCTTGCACTGGGATTCTGATGGAATAAACTTCATGGTGGGCTTAGATGCCACGACAAGTCCCATCCCCGCTGCTCCTCTTGTCAATGTCCTGTTAAAGACTAACAGAACCAAGCGCAAAAGTCTAAAGGGGGTCTCCTGCAAGCACACATCATGCTGTGTTATTGCTACTTCTCCTCTCTGGCTCCATGGACAAGCCATGGGAGCCTTGGAAGGAAGCTCTTGGTATGGCCCAGCTGGAACACGAGACATATAGCAACATGTTGGTTGCGGAAGCAAAGCAAGGCCTGCCATGTGCAAGAGGCTGCCCTCCTCAGTGCTGGACGCTGTGAATGATGAACGCAGCCCTGCCCATGTGCACAGCCAGGCTGCCCGGGTGGCTCACATTGAGGTTTTACTCGGCTAGAATCCTTGTCCTCTAGGCGATTCTCTGCCTCTGCTGTGCTGTCCTCTTGTTTTGCATTTCTTGATCCTAAGAGCAGGACTCTTTTTATCTTAACTCAGTTGCTTCTAGTCAAATGCAGCCCGACTATCAAAGCCACCTATGACAGTCACCCTTCAGAGGCTAATCAGACGTGCGTGTGCTCGTCTCCAGTGCTTGACCTGCCTCAATAACTTATATTTTCATTGGTCTAATTTTGTACTTTTTATTTATATTTCACCTTAAAAAAGTATAAGTGTTCCCTATAAGCTACTTCAGATGCCCTGTGGTACGAGGTAGTTCTCTAAATCTAGAAGTATGTTTGGTCTTCGGCTTTACCATGATGCAACTTGTTTCTGAGTGTGCTTTGTCTCTAAGAATTCTCAAACTCCCAGCTTGACAGCAGCCTCGTTTCAAAAGTTGAATCTGCTTCTGTGCAAGTTCTGGAATTTGACATTGGGCATAGCACCTCCTGAAAAGGGCACACAAAGCCCAGTGGACAGAGACAATACATCATGGGTTCTCCTGACACCATGAATCTTCTGGAAGTTCCATGCTCAGCCACCAGCCTGGCCTCTCAGCATTGAGGCTGGACTCAGAAACCTGACAAGCTCTCACAAAAGAACATTCCAGATAAGCCATTAAGAAGAAAGGTTCCAGGGTTGCCTGGGTGGCTCAGTGGTTGAACATCTGTCTTCGGCTCAGGGCATGATCCTGGAGTCCTGGGATCAAGTCCTGCATCGGGCTCCCCTCAGGGAGCCTGCTTCTCCCTCTGCCTGTGTCTCTGCCTCTTTCTGTGTCTCTCATGAATAAATAAAATCTTAAAAAAAAAAAGAAAAGAATAATAAGAAGAAAGATTCCCCCTCCTACTCCAGAAGATTCCTTGACCATCTGTGTAATCCTACTGATTTTCCCACCTGGACATTTCTTTGTGTTTCTCACCTGACTCCACGCAGTGAGGAAGCACTTCCTCTCACTTGAGGTGCTAATAAATGTTAGCACAGAAAGAAGGGTGGAGTGTCATCAACACCACCCTGAGCAGCTAGTTCCTGAGGAAGACACTGTGTTGGAAGCCAACTAACTTCCTTCTTGTTTTTTTGTTTTTTTGTTTTTAATTCTAGAAGTGGAACAGGTTTTCCTTTCTTTGGCTGGGACCCAAATGCAATTGTTGGCTCTCATTTCACAGCAGCCACGCTGTTCAAGATATGCCAATCTCAAAAGAGTGGGCTTGTGCTGAGCCCAGAGCTTATGGTCTCAGAGGGGCCTGAGATAGGCTGAGCAGGCTGTGGGGTCTGGTCTCCCCTGTCATACCCACTGCGAGGACCTGCCCACTTGACCTGCAGCTTTCCTGTGCTCACTTTTGTGTGGCTGCTAAGTGGGCACTTTAAATGTGCATACGATGGTCTTCTCCTTTGTGCATGTGTTCATCCCTGAGCCCTCTCCCAAGTTAGAGGGCATAGCTTCTGCTTCCAGCTGCTCTGGAGAACCAATGGGGAGAGAATCTGTGATAGTAGCAGTAGGGGGTGCATTGCATGCAAACTCAGCTGGTCACTTTGCTTGCCCTGCCATTAGCCCCCCAGAAGAAGGGGGTCCATGTAAGAAGGCATCAACCATCGGGGAGCCCTGGCTAAGAGCTAGAATGGAGAAGGCACGTTTAGACAGTGAGTGTGGAAATTGGGGCCACATTGCCCCTCTGGGACAGGGTTTGGTCCACAACGGAGTGCATGCCAGGACAATGCTCAGGGACCCCGTAGGGGACAGAATTGGAGGACAGAAGTCATTCTCAGGGGTCAGCACCACCACTGAGCACAGATCTCCCTGGGAGCTTGTTAAATGCAGATTCTGATTCAGGTGGGTCTGGGGAGAGGCCTGAGGCTTTGCATATCTAACAAGCTCCCAGGTGGCGCCACTGCAGGCAGGCCACATGACACACTGAAGAGCCATGATCTTGAGCAGCCCTGTTATTTTAGAGACGCAGAACTGGAGCCCTGGTGTTCAGGTGTCACAGGCTGCCAGGCGAGCCCTCCTGCCCCTCCCTACACTGCTGACTGGCTTCTCCAGAGCCCTGCTGAGCCTGGGGCAGAGCAAGCAAGCAAGCAGGCAGGACAGCGCCCAGAGGAGGTGAGGTACACTCGTGCTGCCGGTGAGTCAGGAGCCAGTGCGCCTCGGGCCTCAACGTGACTGTACTGCGTGCCCGGGAATGTGGTCCTGAGCGCCTGGGCCTCCACGCTGCTCCTTGTCTCTTCAGATGCCAGAGCCATGAGCGCATGAGGGCCCATCCTGTCAGGCAAGGCAGGGCAGAGAGGGAGAAGGACACAGCGGCCAAGTTTCTATGGGCAGGGCCCCTGGAGCTGGGCTCATCCTCCCGAAAGTTCTCCCAAGGAACCATCTCTGCGGCCTCTCCCTGTATCTGTTCCCTGGGAAGACAGCTGGGCTCTTTCAATGACCTAACTCAGTTGGTTCTGCCATTGACGGGCTAAGTGATGACGGGGTGAGGTGATCCTCACCTATTGAGGGTCATGACAATGACCTCATGGTTACAAGGATCGAAGGGGACTCAGTTTTGGCCCCCAGAGATCCACACAACCTCTGGAATGGGCAGATGCCTGAGAAAGCAACACTGCTCCTTTGCAGAAATTAAAACACAGAGCTATAAACTTTGGATGCCTGGCGACTCTAAGACTTCAGCACCTGCCATTTATAAAGCTATTTAGAGTCAAATCTGCCACTAACCAGCAAGTCCACACTTTACACACCCCTAGCCTTATAGTTTACTGCAGAGATGGCCAGCAGGGACCCACAGGTGCAGGGGGTGAGGGCATTCTGGGCAGAGGGTGGCTCTACCCAGGCTCTGCAACCACCTTCAGCCAGAAGCCTTGAAGCTGCCAGGCTTCCACTCCTTTCTCGGTGACATTGCAGTGTGATGGGAGAAGGGGGGTGAATCCTGAGTCCAGCCTTACTGAGGCCAGCCTGGAAACATATTTGCATGAGGGACCAGAGAGCCTTCTGGGTAAAAACCAACCCTAAGAGAAGAGAGAGGCAGAGAGACAAGCTCAGCCATAGGTATGCTCGACTTCGTTCATTTTCCCACCACCTCTATTTGTTCTTGAGGAAGAAGGGTTGTGAGACAGCTGGGGCAGTGTGGGGGAAGGCGCGGGGTGGGTGGAGGCTGTGTGGGATATTGGGGTCCGCATCTCATCACTTAGAAGCATCCGATGTAAACTTCAGTTGTGTTAGTTCCTGGCAGACACATGAGACAGTAGGTGCTAAGAGTTAGCTGAGCTTGTTTGAGCTGAACTGGCTCATCCAAGGCTTCAAGAAGTTTCTCGGCAGGGTAGGAACACAGGGGAAGAGGGACAGCCGGGAGAACGCAGGTAACAGGTTATGGGTCCTTGTTGGGGACCCTTGGATGGTGGCATCGGAATGCTGGACGCTGAGCAACGCCGGGGAATGCCGAGGTTTCCGTGTGGACAAAGTGCTCTGTCTGTGTCTAAGGACCAAGCATGGAAGTCCCAGCGAGGGCTGTCTCTGAACTCAAGGCACCCACAGATTCTCCTTCCTTTCTTTATCCAACAAATATCCACCCCTGGCCCTGGCCCCTCCGGGATCCCACAGACTGCTCTTCTCAGGAGATCCTGTCACATCTGAAGTTGGTGTCTTTCAGGGAAGGGAGAGGGACATGAGGTCCCACGGCCTCCCGACACCTCTGCTATGCCCCCACTCCACTGGGCTGTGCACCCCCAAACCCCCCGAGTTGACCTGGGAAGAAATAAAGTAGATACAGATTATAGTTTACAAGCTAACAACCTGGATGTGCATTGGCCCCGACTCTGCTTCCCAAATACAAGCACCCAGTTGACAAATGTCTCCGTGTCTTTGTTTCCTTGCTTCTCTTCCTCCTCCAAGTGGACTGCTCCCAAGCGAGCCCCAGCCTCTAGATGGTCATTTCCTTTTCACTGTCTTCCCTTCCAGCCCAGACCACAGGCCTGTCCCCGGGTGTGAGGAGGGCAGAGGCCCTCTGGAGGGTGTCCCCAGTGGCACGTCCCCAGCACACATGGCCATAGTCCCATGTCCCCTGGTCCCGATTCCACCTTTCTGAGTGGCCCTCCTGGCCCTCATCAATCTCAGTCTTGTGGCCCAAGGTCCCAGGTCCACATCTGAGTTCTGGCTCTGCTCAGAGCCTCTCAGGGTATAGGACACCGACCCCACCTCTCTGCAACCACCTGGGAACAATGACACGGCCATTCTCAACATGTGGCCCTGGGACAGGCCGTGTCAGCCTCTCCTGGGAACTTCTTAGAAGGGCAAAGTGTCCAGCCCTGGTTGGGTGAGCAACTCAATTCAGGTTTACCCACCTCGACCCAGGGAGTTCTTATTCCAGATCTACAAAGAGAGAGGCTGTAGGGTGGGCTCTGTAACCATGTGGACCAAGCCCCCCACCCCAGGGGTGGCTCTGATGCTCAAGCCTCAATACCGCCACAGGGACGGATCTCCAAAGCTGACCTTCGAGCCCGTATGCTGCCCTCCAGGAGTCCCCATCTCCTCCGTCTCCCCGGGCACGGGAGAACAGACCTTGCCCACCGTCACACAGCACCCTGGCCAGGCAGTGCCACCCCAGGCGGCTGCATCAGATGTGGGGAACTTCGAGTCCTGGCCAGCGCATGCAGTCCCCAGTCGCCTGTGACTAGTGTCCTGTGTTGGCCAGGGGCATGGACTGGTTGTTCCTCTGGCCCTGTCTGCATTTGGGTTTTCAAGAAACTCAAGTTCCTTGTTGCTTAGGAAGAAGGTTGGGTGTGGGAGCTCTGGGGAGGTGGGGGTGGGGGGTGGCTGGTATAAGATAAAAAGAGGGAAGAGGCAGGGAATGAATCTGCAGGGGAGACACTCAACCCATTGGTCCACCCAGGCACTCCAGGCCTGTTGCTTCTTGATCCTGGATTTTTTCCAGTGTTTCTGAAGGTCTGCCTTGGGCACAGCAGACCTGGGAGAGAGACCAAGGTCTCCCTCATGTGACTCTCACACACACATACCACCTCTCACTCTTGACCTATCAATCCCCTGAATCTGCAGGGACCGTCCCCCCACCCTTGTCTTCAATCTTCAATCACTCCCACTGTATCGTTGGTACCACCAGCCTCTGGCAGGTCGTGCTGCCTTCTCCTGGAAGGCCTGTGGGCCTAGAAAGAACCCCAAGGAGACTCTGATCTGTTCTTCCTCAACCTATTCCAACATCGAGACCCTTCTTTGTTGTTGTCTTCCCCCCCGTATCTCCCTTGTCTTAAAATACACTGTCTGCCAAGGAGACTGATCATCAAGGAATAATTAATTTATTTCCCCATGATTTATTAATCAAACTACATCCATAACAGGGTATGCAAAAAGCAGAAAACAGATGTATTATGATTTCCATTAGAGTTTTGAAACCTTTAGAACAATCCATTACAACTGCCACAAACCCCCCTGGGGATTTGGGGAGGAACAAATGAACCAAAATTTGCAGACCTCGAGAGCCTGTGTGGAGGGAGGTAGTATGAGAAGAATACAATGGCTTAGAGGCTCTTGCCGCCCCACCCACCATGCTCAGCCCATTTTGTCCCTTCCACAAATGGCACCTTCCCTCCTATTTCTGGGGGTCCTAGAAGAGCATCTCGTGGACTCACAAACAAGTCTGTACTAAACCAGGTGAGGCCTGTGAGCAGGGCACCTGCTCCTCTGCCCCTTCCTGCATCCCCCACTTTCCCAGCATGACTGGTCTCCTGTCCCCCACTCCCCACCCCCACCCCACCTGTACCTTCTGCAAATGCTAGAGCTGGTCTTGACTCTTTACCATGAAACTCAACACCAGGCCAATGGTGGTGGGTGGTCGGTGGCAGGGTGGGGGTGAGTGGATGGCTGTGCCCCTCTGTCACAGCAAGGTCAAAGCCAAGCTGCTTGGGCCACAGTGCAATGCAAGGTGCTAGAGAAGTGGTTTCTCCCAGTTCTGTCTATGCAGCCCTGCTCAGACACAAACCCCTGGGAGAGGAGAGCTGGAGACAGATTGAACAATGGACCCCCTGTCCCCCTGAATCTCGAAGGCTTTGCTCCCGCTACACTGGGTAGGCATGGCGCCATTGTTGCCTGGGACACTTGTCAACCAAGGCATCATGAGGCAGAGGAGAAAAGGAGCAAAACCAGGGGTGGAGCTGGTGGAGGCCTGCCTCAAACAATAAATTTATTTTTTTAAGATTTTATTTATTTATTAGAGAGAGAGCACAAAGAGAGAGGGAGAAGCAGACTCCTCACTGAGCAGAGAGCTCGGTGAGGCACTGGATCTCAGGATCCCAAAGATCATGACCTGAGCCACCCAGGCACCCCCAAAACAAGGAATTTCTTAAAAACTTCTTTTGCTCTTTAAAATTTGTACAAAGGTTGCCTTTTGCTCCACAACACATTTGTGCTTGTTCACTACTTATAAAATGTCCCAGAATCTTCAAACAAAATTGATTTCCTTTTACCTATGAGTTTACTTCCCCCAGCAAAATGGCGTAGACCCTGAGGGGGTCATGTAGCACAGGTGAGAAGCAATTCTCACGGTTGGTAGTCATCCCCTCCCAGGAGGCTCCTCAGTCCACTGCATGTGGATATGGGCCAGGTGCACTGGGCAGGTGGCCAGGCAGGTCCAGCCATGCCTGGCACCCATACCCACAATCAGGAAGCACCTCTCTTGCCCAAGCCCCATGTTTGCAGTGAGAAAGCTCAGTCTCCAGCACATGAAACAACTCACACAAGACCACACAGCCCGGTCTGGAACCTATGTCTTCTGATTCCTTCCCCCCTACCCGTCCAGCCACCCCATCCCTCCTCTCTGGGTGAAGGCAGAGGGCTGGCAGTGAAGAAGGACTCTCTCAAGCACTCCTCAGGGAAACTTCCTGAGCCCTTTCTATAGGTTGGGAATATTAAGGCCAGAATCATCTACTCCAGGGGCCGTTTGAGATGCAGGCTGGGTGACACACATCAAGGGCTTTGGAAAGGTACAAGGGTAGCTCTTGATCCTATGCTGGGAAGGCTTGGGTGGAGCCTTACCCATTCGATCCTACCCTTTCTCTCACCCTGTGTGCAGTTCTGGGAGACTGATTCTAACACTGATGGCAAACCCAGCCTATGAACCACCTGCCCTAATGGAAGGCATCAATCAAGGGTCATGTAACTGTGCCATTAGGCCTTCACCAGGGACTGCAGGGGTCATGGAACCTGGCTCCCGAGGTGAAATCCATTTATCCTCATCCCCTATCATTTATACTTGATATACGCCAATTGTGAGTGGTTGGTTATCCAGCAACCACAATGGGCAGACATCTATAAATCACAGCCCCCTCCATGCCCTGTGCCACAAGTAATTTAAACCGGAAAGAATGATGATTAATTACAGACTTATTGATCAGTGTAGTCCTACTTTAAGTCTATAATACTTGTATTGCCACCATGCTTAGCATTAGGGACTCCTGGGTGGCTCAGTGGTTGAGCATCTGCCTTTGGCTCAGGGCGTGATCCCAGGGTCCTGGGATCGAGTTCTGCATCAGGATCCCTGTAGGGAGCCTGCTTTTCCCTCTGCCTGTGTCTCTGTCTCTCTCTCTGTCTCTCATGAATAAATAAATAAAATCTTTAAAAAAATAACATTAATCGTTTACCGGGTGCTAGCACTTTACACAGTTTATCCTCTTAGCGAACAATACTATCAACCAACTTGACCTAAGTGGCATTTATCGAACATTTCACCCAATAGCAACAGAATATGCATTCTTCTCAAGTGAATACAGAACATTAACCAAGACAAACCATATTCCAGGCCATAAAACAATGTCAATAAATTTTAAGTCATTCAAATCATACAAAGCGTATTCTCTCACCACAGCAGAATTCAATTAGAAACTAATCACGGAAAGCTATCTGGGAAAATCTCCCAAATATTTTGAAAGTGATCATTATGTTTTTAAGTAGTGCATCATTCAAAGAAGAAATTAGAAAGTATTTTGAACTGAATAAAAATGATAAGCAACATACCTAACTTTGAGAGATTCAACTAAAGAAGTACTTATAAGGCATGTATGTATAGTTTTAAAACCTTATATTCTGTCTTTTAAAAACCCAGCAAAATAAACTCAAGTCAAGCAGAAGGGCAGATAAAAAAATCAGAGTAGAAATCAATGAAATAATAAGTTTTTTTTTCAAAAAAAGAAATGAATAAAATCAAAAGCTGTTTTTTTGATAAATAAAATTGATAACCCTCTAACTAGACGGATCAGGAAAAAAGGAGACACAATTATCAATATTATAAGTGAGAAGAGTGACATGCCCAGATTTTATAGATATTTTTAAAATATTAAATGAGTAATATGAACAACTTTATGCCAGTAAATTGGACAAACAAAATGAAATGGACTAATTCCCTGAAAGAGACAAACTATAAATGCATACTCAGGAAAAAAAATCGATGGACTTATATCTATTAAAGAAATTGAATATGTAATTAAAAACGTTCAGAGAAAAAACATTTCTTTACATTGAAAACTATAAAACACTGCTGAGATAAATTAGAGAAAACCTAAGGAAATGGAAAAATATACCTTGTCCATAGGTCTAAGATTTATTAGTCTTAAGATGTCAGTTTTCCCCAAATTGATCTATAGAGTTAAATGATTCTAATGAAAACCCCAGCAAACTATTCTTTTGACAAGTTCACTTTAATATTCTTATGGAAATGACTTATCAGCATTACATGATTTCACGACTTGTTATAAAGCTTGAATAATCAAGATCATGTGGTGTTGGCATCAAATAAGATAATTTGATCAACAGAATAGAGCTCAAAAATATATGAAGAACTTTATTTA